CTCAGAACAGTTAATAGGCAGTAGAGCTAAAAGTCTCTAAAATAAGGTTCTTTTGAGAGAAAGAGAAAGCGGTGCCCGGCTATTTCAAGATCAAGGCTACATAGTGCCGGAGAAATGACGCAACCCACGATTTACATCTTTCACAATTTAATTATGCAGAAATATCTCTGTGCAAGTAGACAGAGACACAGTAATAACGGTATAAAGGGCGGTAGACCTTAATAATAATGTCTCCAACGGTACAAGTGTTGGGAATATAGCTGCCCGTATTCCAAAAAGCAATGCAATTCCTGAAGAGACAAGAAGCGAATATTTAAATATCGTAAGCTCGGGAGTGCAACGGAAATCAGTCCTGTGGACGGACGCAATAAGAAGTTCCTGTTTCTCTAACCACTGCAAAGGTTACAAAAACTGCACATTGAGAATCACAGAAGAACCTTTCAAATCATCTTGGGTGTGTTTCAGGGGATTCAAGCATAGGATGAAACGTCAATGCGATGAACGCATATGAGGAAAAACTGGAAAAAGAGCTACAAGAGATAATGCCTGGATAGGAGCCTAAGAACTGTTGCGCCGTGGAGGGAACAGACAACGGGATGAGAGCTTGTCAGGAGCCACGCAAAACTCGAGCGCGCGCAGGTGAAACGGTCATAGACCCGCGATGGAGGCGGTGGGTCATGGTTACGGAGATTATTTTTACTAGCATATTATGCCGGTCAACAACTTTTCCCTCACTCATTCACTCACTCGAAAGTAATAGTGAGCTCAACAAAGCAGAGGGGACTACGATGGAGTTCAAGCGTAAGGTAAGTTTTGATGATTGGTCAGCGCGTCCACATTCAATGAGGATGACAACAGTGTTCGCGAGACAGTGATTCTCGAAGTGTGCTTCTCCTTTTCGTCCCCTCCTGAAGACAGGCACACTGGGAGCCGTACCGCTCCATCGCCTAACATACCTCCCCTTTCCAATCCCTCTAGCCAATCCGCTTATTAGGTTTTGTTAGCTTACTCCGATAAGTAGACTCTCGGTATGAAACAGGGGAGTGCACAGCCAGGACTGCGTGAATTTGAACCCAGGAGGATGACATAACTCGACTTCCCACACAGTAAGCATGGGCTTTCTGCCCGGGAAATTATTACTGCTTCAAGTTAAAGAAGGCGTTCCCTTGGATATGCGCACGAGAGCTTCTGGTCCACATTAATTAATCGACCAGCTCAAGCCAAAGGAGTAGGGCGGTCAGGAGCTCAGAGTAAGATCAGAGCTTTAGTGCTACTAGACTGTCCTCCTCTGTAGTTAATGGGTGGGCCAAATGCATGTGCAAGACAGGCAAGCGGGAAACGAGTGCAATAATTGGCAAAGACATAAAAAGAAGAATAAGAAGGCTTACTGTGACTCCATTGGACAAGGAGAAGGGAGCCCAGGTGCCCTTGAGGCCACGACAGAGGGCTTCTGACTCCTCGCCATCTTCATCCTCCTCAACGGTGTCTTCAGCAATACTGGTCATGTCCAGGTCTTGACAGTTGTCCACATCCTCCTCCTCCTCTTCCTCCGGCGTCCACTCAGGCCATCGCACGTCCGGCGCGACGTTGGTGTACTTGGCGGCGGCGGTGCCGCTGGTGGTGGTGGTGTTCGTACGGGACTGCATGAGAAAATGCATCGCTTCCTCCTCTTCCTCCTTCTCCTTCCCATCCGCGATCAGCTCCTCTTCCGCCTCCTCATCTTCAGA